CAGCAGAAAAACACAACGGAAATAGAAAATACAAACAAAGAAGAAAACAAAGAAAACTGAAATAGAAAACAAAAACTGGATTGTTTCTGGGGGATATAATGACTTGAAGAACTAGATCCGGATGTGACAAGCTAATGCTAAACAGCTGATAGCAAGCATCTATTATATGTGATTAAAATACACATTGAACTGATTTCCCTCACAACAGTAATGAACCCTGTCTGTGAAGGTTCTCAGTCATCCAGGTCATCATAGTCTAAGGAGCTTGGAAAGAAAAGCGTCTGGACTTCTTTAAGTTGCTTGAAAAGCAACTTAAAGAAGTAAACATAGGTGTGCCGCGAGAGATCGTCAGGTGTGCCGTGGGAATTTATTTAATGAACTACATAATTTTGTGAATTATGTCCATGTTTAACCTCCTAAGACCCGAGCTCTTCCATGGCATGCATTTTTAATTTCTCTTTGATATTTGGGTATATTGGAGCCCGATGGATGTAAAAACAAAGAATTACCAGATTTTTTTAAATCTTATTTTTGTTTTTAAGAAAAATAAGAGCCACATATGAGGATATTCGTTTAAAATTTCGATAGAACAGTAGCTGTATAACGTCCTCGTAAGTGGATATCAGGCCCTTGTAGAGCAAAATTGAGTATTTTGGTCTAAATAACCCAAAATGTGATGTCCACATATGTGGACGCAGGTCCTAGGAGGTTAAGTAACTTGACTGAAAATTCTATGGTCCCAGTTTCCTGCACATGGAGGAAAAACCAGCTACACGTAGCCTGATTTCAGGTAAAACTTTACTCAAACTGTGTTTAATGGCTGAAGCCAGGAAAACCTCGACCAATCTATACGGTCTTTTCAGTATAAAAATAATACATAAAAACTGCATGCTAGCTTTAAATTGTTTTTTTTGTTTTTTTTAATAAATCTCGTGACAGCCTCAGTAAGGTTGATGGTAATGTCATTACATTTGCAGGAAAAAAAGAAAGAAAGAAATGATAGTAGTGTCACGGACCCGGTTCTAGGGACTCGGGGTCCGTGAGCAGTGTGGACTACTATTGTAGTTATTATTATTATTGTTGTTATTATTATGGTTGTGTCTGCTGTCCTGTGTTCCGTGTTTGTGTACTGTCAGGTGTTTATGGGTGTTTGCGTGTGTGTGAGGGTGCGGTCGTGGCAGGCACTTCTAGGCCTGCTGGGTGTGGCCCTGCCAGCTGACCGGTCACACCCAGGAATCCGCACACACCTGGCGCCGATCAAGCCTCGTCAGAGGAGCTTCAAAACAGTGTGGCTGAGAGCTCCTCGACGCTGGATCGTTGAGTGACTTCCCGTCAGTCCTAGTTTAATGTGCAAGGTTAGTGCAAGTCTGCCGTTAGGTTTTGTACTCACGGCTGCCTTTTGTATGCGTGTTTCCCCAGGAGGAATTGTGGCGACCAGGAGGCAGCACACGGACAGTACACAGGGAACGGAGACAGAGCACGGGATAAGGGAGAAGACACGGAACGGGAGTCGGGATCGCACGGGGGATTTACTGTTGTTTGGATTTTCACCACTGTAAATAAACGCACTGCCTTCATCGTCAAGTCCTGCATTTTGGGTCCTCATTCCTCACATCCCCACACAGACCGTGACAAGTAGATAAAGATGTACAGGAGTATCAGTATTTTTAGGAATCATCTGAGGTATGTCCAGTATCTGCAGTAAAATTTAGCAATCCATCAATAAGTGTCAAGAGATTTCACTCAAAACACAAAATGCCAGCCTCATGGTGCTGCTAAAAAAAGGCCAGGGCTAAATTTTAGGGTTATAATCCGGATGCCTCGTCTGGGAATGTGGCAAAGCATCCATCCACTTCAACTCTGTGTGTGTGTGTGTGTGTGTGTGTGTGTGCAGTCTGAGTTCTGAGGGTGTCTAGCAGTGGGTTATTATGCACTAGGCTACAGTTAGTGTAGCGCTTAACACAATCACTTGACAAGCTAAAGGCTGTCAACACAAATCCCGTTTGGGACTGTGTCAGGAAGAGCATCCAGTGTAAAACTCTGCCAAATCAAACATGCTGTGCTCCCTGCTGTGGTGACCCCTTGAGATGAGAGGGCAGCTGAAAGTAGGATAATTATTATGTACTAGCAGCCATATGGAAACTTTGAAAACCTTTTATTCACTCACTGGATAAGATTTTGCATCGTACTCATATGTGGATAATTCCAGTTTTGTGACCTTTCAGAAACTGTCTGGACATCCATTAAAACTCAGATGTAATTTTAAAACTGTTTGGCTGTCAAAGTCCTGAAAAGTAGACATAAGAGATGCAAGGCTTTTGTTAGATGATGGCAATAAAGTAAACAGCAACAGAGTGAAAAGAGCAGGAGCTTGATTATGGCCAACAATGGCTTATTATTGCATGCCTAAAGGGTACAGACTGACTGGAACAGCCACAGAATTACAAACAGTTTATGATAAATTCAGACTTCCAGTGAAGTACCTGACAAAATGTTATGCTTTTCTGCTCTTTGGACCATAAGAAAAAAAGAATATAAACAGTCCTCACTGATAGATCTACGTCACCCTTATATAAAGTGTCTAAACACTAAATCAGGGTTTCCGGTAGGTTGACTGCTTTTTTGCCACCAGATTCAGGTTGGGATGTTTGTCTGTATGTGAAAGAGACACACAACAAGATGAAGTAGACTCACACTGAGGTGAAAAGCAGCATTTATTTTATATGCTTATGTTAAAAGAGAAACACAATGGAACTGCTGGTCGACAACAGATATTATTTATGTTCAGGGTAACTAAAGATATTTTTCATATTCGGCATACACACATATGCACGTTTCTGCAACATGACTGACGAAGGATCTGCTGTGATATTGCACTAACGGAAAGAATTTGGATCGGTGCCACCTTTCTCCCCGAAAGGCAACTAAGATGCTCAAGCAGCACTGACACAATAACTGGTTCACATGGCAACATTTTGACCTTTAACTGTCACCTGAGGCGCTCCAAGCAAAAGCAACACATATCCAACTATCACTAGATAAACCAATGAGGGAGAAACAAACCACTTTCTCCGATTCATTGTACTACCATAATGTTATAAAACTGTTCTAAATAAAAATAAGTCGGTAACAACTGCTTCAGTAACAACATGGTGAAGATACTGTGCCACCATGTGGCTTAGTGGCAAATATACCCTGGCCTACTCAGACTGTGTGGGAAGGAGGTCTGTACGAGACCCACAGATAGATCAATAAACACATGCTGTGAGCATACGGCAAAAAAAACGAAGAGTTTGATACAAAGGGGAGTCAGAATAGCTTGACACAACTTCCTACTGACAGCTGATGGGAAGCATTTGGATGTGAAAACCATGCTCTCCATAGAGTAACTGACAACAGAAAACCTGGATGTGTTGTTCAGTGGATGAAAACTGCTGTCACTGCTTGATTAAATAATGCGCAGAACAGGACATGAAAATGATCACCATAATAGGATCTCACTAATGATAGTCCGACAAGTCTCACATTACCAGCACGAATGGCTAAATTAACCAGGAGAAATCATCGTGGCCTTTTTTCTGGGTTGAAGAGGAAACGATAAAAAGACATTAAAGCAGCATAAAAACAGCACTGAAGGGGAATACATCACATTCAGCTTTATTCAATCTTGGCCTCAACTCCAACCCAACATTTTGCTTCCAGTTTTACAAACCACAGATCTACTGAAAAGGACGGACTGTTGATCCAACAATTAAATACATTCCTACTTTTATTTACAAGATGATGATTATGGTCATTATTCTTCTTTTATTGCTGCTCCTGGATCACATCACTCATCACTACAGCTGTATTTTCTATTACAGTGACCCTCGTTCCACATGAAAAGTAAGTGCTTTGCAATTTGCATTCAGACATGTCAGAGTCCCTTGTAAATAACAACACACAGACAAAGATTGCTTTTAGAGAAGAGTGAAGGTTGTGTTTGGGGTTCAGGAGCTCCAGTTGCTGGCGCTTTCTCAAAAGCTTGACAAAGTTTTGGTTTTTAAAACAACGCGATAACTGTGCCACTTGCCCTCAGCTACTCTTTGGACTGGCAGATCCAAAAGAAGCAAAAGTCTGTTTACTGAGGTAATATAGTCCACTTGTAGGACTGCTCTAACAGTGCCACGAGAGATCTTTGTTGTCTTAGACTCGCGTTTCGTTTAGTCGTCCTCCTCAGTGAGAAGGCTAAGGTTACCTAATTCACAAGAAAAAAGAGGGCAGGTAAGAGGAGTGGAGAAAGGACCGAAAAACAGAAGTTAAGAGTGTGATGTTGGCGAGAAATAGTGAGGCCATGAGTGTGCTTTTAAAGAGGACCTATTATTTGTTATAATGCCACAGTACTGGATGAAAACATCAAACATGGCCATAATTTCAAGTAATGAGGTCAGTGTGTGTAGAAGCAATCCCCACGACCAAATGCTCAGGCATTTTCTTCACAAGAATAAAAAGGTTTCTTTTAGGCTTGAGTTTAAAAATGTGCAATAACTGTTGTAAATGAAAGAAAAAATATCCCAGCTACTCCTACTTTTTGGAAATGAAAACATTAAAATGGCTTTAAAATAGTTTTGCAACACTGTTGCACAACACTCAGTTAAACCTGAAATTCTACAATTCTAATCACATCACCAGTGCTTTCAAACCCACTGTGGTGGTGCGCAGCGGCCAAATTACAAAATTATATCCCATCACCAAATGCCTGTGAACCTTACAGTTACACCATGATTTGTTGCCATTTACAGAAGAGCTGATTTTACATCTAAAAACATGCAGTAGACATTTATATCTTAAATAATTTCAAATGAAATATTCTTCAAAATGCTCCTTGGGAGCAACAACTGTACATGAGTAATACATAACTACAGGATCAAATGAGGTATATGCATTCTCGTCTTACTTTCCAAGGTAAGGATGCAACCAACCACCTAAAACAAACAAAAACAAAACCCCCAAAACAACAACCACAACAAAAAAAGTTAATTCGCCATTGGAAAATAAAATGTGAAATATGAGTACATCAACCAAAACAAAGTGACAGTTACTTCCATTATCATCTGACAGGGATCAATAAAGACAACACAGGTTGCAAAATGGAAGTGGAATTGATTTCCAACAGTAAAACGTAAATCTTCTGTTTTAAAGAGTAATGCAGTAGAGCGTGCACAACTGTCCGACCCCGCCTCTTTCTCTGGACACTGCTACTCCTGAGGCTAAAATTCCTAGTGTTTGCTGGACACTTTGCTATCATATAAGAACTTTTGCAGAGCATGCGCTGTGTGTGACTCAACAGCATCAAAGTGAAGCTGAAATGTTCCTTCCAGAGTGTTGGGATAATATGACTGTACAGTGATTTAGATGGTTGCTTTTTTTCACTCCCCCAAAAATCAAAGATTGGTGTAAAAGCTGACTTGGAACTCGAAGGATTACCTTCATCTGAAAACACACAGTGAAGTTCCCAAACATCATCATCATATGGAGGTCAGTGGTAGGGTTATGTATGAATCCTTTACAGCAGGTAGGATCATTTGGTGATTTTAAAATGGTCTTTGCTTTGTATTCTTCTGAAACAAGCTGTCACAGTGCCCTTGCGTGCTTTTCAAAGGAGACTGACCTCATGACTCTAAATATGTTGTAACTATACACATGACGTGTGTCCTTTAAGATAAGCATGCTCAGAATAACTCCCTGTCTGGGAAACTAGGTTTAAGAAAAGCATGTCTGTCTGCTGCCTTTTTCAACTACACCTCTAACACTCTCAGAGTCTCAGCTTGGCAAGTTGGAACGCACTGCGGACAGAGCTTGGAAGAATTCGCTTTTCCTCAGTGGTCCAGAGATGGTGTTTAATCCAGAGCAACCTCTGATACGATGGGTAGCATGAAGGTTGTGGCTTTCTTTGATTCCTTCATCTTGTCCAGGCCGAAGAGGAGGTCCAGCTGAGTGACTGGTCGCAACCGCTCCTCATCCACAGGTCTGGAGCCAAGGACACAAGAGATCAGAGGTCAGGCACAGAGGCCTAATAGCAGGTTTATACTTCTATACTGCACACAGCGTACGACATGTACTAGAGTCGCAGGAGACATTTTATGGATTTCCACATGAATATGACCTAAAGCATCAGATTTCCACACTAAATCCTAAAAGTAGAAAATTGATCTCTCACATTGGCACCATCAGGGAAAACCCAGCAACAATGGTGTGCATGGCAGGGCTGCAAAGAGAACACTGCTGCCCGTCAGCAGTTTGCTAAAGATCACACAGACATGCCAGAAGGCTTTTGGAACAATGTTTTGTTGACAGATGAGCCCAAAATAGCATCTTTTGGGGCTCAAATAAAAAACCCATCTCTTCTGTCAGAAGAGAGGAAAACACTGCATTCCAACATAATAACCTAATTCCATCTGTGCACTGCATAATCATAATCATCCTGTCATGGTTTGTGTCTGTTTTGCAGCATCTGGGCCATGATGGAGCAACACATTTTGAATTTCAATGTCAGATTGTAATGGAAAATGTCAGGACATCTGTCTGAGGTCTGAAGAAAAAGTGGGCCGCGCAGTACGTCACCAACTCTTAGCACGAATGTACTTCAACCACAGACTGGTGAAAGAAGTATAAAGTTTTGGGACGGCCCAAATCCAACTGCATTCAACTTAAAAGACGTGGAAGGCGTCTGAGCAGCTGTGAGAAAACCTCAACCCCGAGATGAAGCTATTTTGGGCGTTTGAATCGGTTCAATTTCCTCCAAGTGGAAGTGCAGGACTGACCGACCGTTACCAGAAATGGTTTGCTGCAGCTATTTTGAAGAATGGCGTCACACCAAATACTGAAAGCATGCATACTTTCACCCCTCACAGATCTGCAACAGTGGATCATTTTCCTTTTTTTTTTTTTTTTTTTTTTTT